ATGAGTGCAATTGTGTGGTAGTTTGAACATTCTTTGGCATTGCCTTTCTTTGGGATTGGAATGAAAACTGACCTTTTCCAGTCCTGTGGCCACTGCTGAGTTTTCCAAATTTGCTGGCATGTTGATTGTAGCTCTTTCACAGAATCATCTTTTAGGATTTGAAAGAGCTCAACTGGAATTCCATCACCTCTACTTGCTTTGTTTGTAGTGATGCTTCCTAAGGCCCACTTGACTTCACATTCCAGGCTGTCTGGCTCTAGGTGAGTGATCACACCATCGTGGTTATCTGGGTCATGAAGATCTTTTGTTGAGAATCCCGTGAACAGTATGAAAAGGCAAAAAGGTATTCATTTCATTTTCTATATGTTGAGATCTCTTCCCAAATATAAATGAATTTGGAAAGGGATCTCATTGATCAGAAAGAAGGATCTTAGGGGACAGTAATTATAAAGATGTCTTCAATGATTACTGAATCAATTACCATCATCAATTATCCATTACCATTTATAATATTTTTAGAAATACTACAGTATTCCTAAATACCCTATCCTGGGCATTTTAGGCATGATCCATTTCCTGGGCTTCAAAAGTATTTAAGACTAGATGGCATAAACTGCTGCAGTGATTTCTGGGCTTTACTAGAGTAGATTTTAAAAAGTCTATTTGGGACTCTGTATCAACCTAGAGGGCTAGGATGGGGAAGGAGGTGGGAGGGAATTTCAAAAGACAGGGGATATATGTATACTTATGGCTGATTCATGCTGAGGTTTGACAGAAAACAACAAAATTCTGTAAAGCAATTATCTTTCAAAAAATTAATTAATTTTTTTAAAATGTCTATTCACAAGTGGACTTTTGGCAGAAGCTGCACCCTGAATCCTCATACCTTTTTTGAATATACAAGTAGGGTATGAATATTCAGTAACTCAATGGTTCATATAGGAATAACTTCTAATGCTTGCTTTTTCTACCTTTTGTTGCCCTGTTTGGCAAGTGATCTATGCCCAAATATTAAAGAAAGACTTTTGTTGGAAGTGATTCAAAATTCTACAGCACAGTGAGGCAGTCTCTCATGTTTTCAGAATTTTGAGTTACTTTTCCATTTTGAGCTATGAGAAATTCTAGAGTGTAGAGGGAAACTTTATGAGCCTGGTTTTATTTTATCTAATTGTCCCAGAATTTATGCACTGTTCAGAATATGCTTTATAAGTTAATTTATATGTTAATAAGAACCACCCAAAGGGCAAAATTGATATATAAATTATTAAATCAGCCTGTCTGCATATTCTCCTTTTTTAAACAATTACTTTTTCCAAATATTACCAAACAACCAGACAATATAATTACTTTGTGCTCTGTTAATAGAGGTTTTGTAGAGAGCTAGTGGTCAAAGAAATCCTTTATCTGCAGCTACATGGAAGATTGTTTCTGGGAATGTCTTATAGACATAAGTTCCATTTAAATAATGAGAAAATTACTGGGTGTCTTTATCAGAGCAGTATAAATGTTTTGACCTTAGATGTGAACATTTGGCTTATTTTTTATTCACTGATCTGCTTTGTAACAATTCTTGGTATGAAATTGTTTCTGTGAGTGTAGAGGTCAGGAAAACTCAGATGTGACCACAAAAGAAAAAAAATTTAAAACAAGCATAAAGTGGGGAGGAGAATAAACTCAAAGATTTTATTCCCCCCAGCCCTTGGAGTTGAGCTCTGAAACAGAGCCACCATTTGGCAAAACTGAGACAGACAAGCTTATCTGAATTCCGAGCCTTTCTCCTCTCTCCTGATCGCTTGTAACTCAGATATCCACAGCATCAAGCACTGCCCTTCATAGTTCTCTACAGAGACTTGGGCAACGATCAGGGCTTTGACTGATACTTTGACCTCCCACACATCAGGATCTTATTTCTCCAGTGCTGAGCTCTGAGATGATAGCTCTGGAATAAAGCAATTCCCCACCAAACAGCTAATGATTAGGTATGACTCTATGGGCCGACACACACACTCCCATCTCTCCTGAGAAGGAGACAATTCAGGAACCTGAGATGCTGCAGGGTTATGAAGCAATTTCAGAACAAAACTCAGAGCTAAAAGTCCTCTATCAAACCTAGTGTGAAGGTTATTTTGCTTATGTACCTGGATACCCCACATATCCCCCCAATACTGGGAAATGGGTACATGTTACTGTGAGAGTGACAAAGGATCCAGTTAAGCTATGTGTATCCAAAGCCATTAAACCCATTGGTGAAAAAACAATGATACTTTTCACTTCCAAAGAGGAAACTATGAATGTACCATCACCTACCTCTCACATTCAAAAATTGCCTTCCTATAACAAAACAAAAAGTACTAGAGAATAAGCCATGTTGACTTTGTCTTCCTGAGTATTTTAGAGGACGCAGCAGTAAAAAGATCACAGATAAATTACAATATTGGAAAAATACTTTGTGTGGCTCAGAGCCTTGAGAGCACTCTGAATGTCATATTAATTCTATAAAGTCTATCAGACCTTCAGAGAGGATTATCCTGGGATTTGGGGGAGGGCAACACAAAAGTCACTCCTTTGCAAATAACATTAGACAAACCAGTCCAATATTTTGTAAGCAGATAACAGAAAGAGCATGGAAAATATTTTTTAAAGTGGATATTGGAAGATGAGATGGTTCTTGTTAAAATCTGATACACACTGAGGAGGCTTCTCCCTAGAATTCAGATTAAAGCCTGGGTACCTAAAATCTATTTTTTAAAGCTTCAGTTAAAGACATTAGAGTCTATCTTTGAGAACCAAATCCAAAGTAAATCCAGCAGAGGGATTATGTGTTAAATATACAGATGTTTGGGATGAAATTTTTTTTTGTCCTTGTAAGTAATTATGTACATGAAAGAGGATTGATCAGTCAAAGGACATAGATTTAACCTTACTATTAAAACATTCTGTGGAGTATTTTAGTTTCTTTCTGGTGTGTGTGTGTGTGTGTTTATCTGTCTGTCTGTTGTCTGTCTATATGTTCAAGAGATAAAAACGAACGTGTGTGCACATGCTAAGTCGCTTCAGGTGTGTCCAACTCTTTGCGACTCTATGGACTGTAATCCGCCAGACTCTGCTGTCCATGGGATTCTTCAGG